GGGGCGGGAGATTCATGTGATTGGTTGCTCGCAAAAAATTGCCAAGCTTCAGACACGCCCAGCTTCAAGATTTTTTCATGCCTGTAGTGTAGACGGGCCGTAACACATGATTTACTTCCTCCAAATATGATCTGAAAGCTTCAGTTGTCATCCCCTCATATCATAAACCAAGTCATGGTATATAAAAATGTACTTGTTTATCCAAAACAGTGATACTTAATAGGTCAGTCTAGCCTTGTGAGTCAGTACTTTGAGTCTATTGGTGATAACAAAATCTCTCTGGTTTGGGGGTATTTTTCTCAGTTTTGCATTTTTCAAGACACTGCTGCATTCCTGATCATTCCTGCCAGTATTCGTCCGTCATGCTGACTTACATCCTACACAGACATTGTGAAATAACATCATTACTGCACATTTTAAGTGTTTGATTGCTGAAGGGGATATATCAAGTACATTTGGTTTAGTCTTTGGACAGTCGGAGGCCATGTGATGTTTAACACCACTGAGAAACAACACTTGACTACCGGTACTTAACACCTCTCTATATTAACTTCTCCTTCGTACAAAGCGTTGTGTATACACCCTAATATTCTACAGAACAATAAGTGTTTCATAGTGTTTCTACTACAGATGATCTGGATAGCGTCCACTAAATGTAATATAATGAACGGCAGAATGCAGGGGGAAGAAAATTGCTTCTGTGGGTCATGGGGTTTTAATAGAATTGGGTCAAAGTACTATTTTATTTTTGACTGAGTTCTTTGTCTCAGTTTCTCCGTGGCTCTGCCCACAGGAATATCATGTGCATCCAATCTATTATTCTTAGCCCAGCGGTCATCTGTTTCTCCTCTTCTCATGCTGCAAGGGAACAATGGCCTAGTAAACAGAAAGCAGGGTAACATGGATTGGCTCCAGAGGCATTGGTTAAACAAACTCTTTGATTTAATGTCAGAGATCCATAAAATTGTATCTGCAGCAATTACACTCCCAGATGTCACACAAAAACAGAACCAACTGGTCTAGTTTCTATGTCTGTTTTTACCCTACAACATCTTGTTTTACATGTTCTGTTGCTCCTGTAACATGTTTGTAATGTTGTCAACATGTTTCTTCATGCCCTTCCCACCAAGACAAATTCCTCTTTATTTACGGGAACTTCCCAGATGACTCCTCTCATGCATCACTGATGAAAATGAGCTTATACAGTGGTGCTTGGTAAATGTGTGTTAAATGTAAATATGTCTTGTCATTATACCACAACACAGCCTTTGTATGACTCATTGTGTGTAAGTGTAGCCTGATACTTGGAGAACATCAGCTATCTGCTGTCTGTGAAAGAAGTACCGGTAGTTAGAATATTAATCTAGAACTCATTTACTCACAAAAACCTCTCTCCTTTTCCACAGAACTTCCTCACTGTGGGTGAGTCCAAGTCGGCCCGCTGCGATGATCTGGAGTCCCTGAAGAAGAGAAATTGTGCCGTGACCAAAATTGAGAACCCACGTGGCGGCATCAACATCGACAAAGACAAACCGGTCACCAACCGTAAGAAGGACGTGGCAGAGAAACTGAAGCCGGAGCAGATCACCCAGATCCAGCCGCAGAAACTCACCCTCACTCTCCGATCTGGTAATTATTAAACTCCCGGAGACAGATCTGTGAATGTGTTGCAGAAGCAGGCTGGAAATATGTGTTTTGTTTTATTTATGTAGGTAGTTTAACGGTACGTCCACACGGTTCCGTCGCGTGCTTCAACGGAGACGCACCCCATTCACTTTGAATGGGGTGACGTCAAGCTTTGCCGAACTGCATTGTGGTTCCGTCGCGTCGCTTTGTCTCCGTTGCTCGCTTCGAAAGTTGAGAAAAGCTCAACTTTTTAAGCATCGACGGAAGCGCCAGCCAATCAAATCATATGCCAGTACAAGCGCTAGCCGATCAAACCGGGTGCTTGTTTGTCCGGGGCGGGAGATCAATGTGATTGGTTGTTGGTCGCGCGCCAGACACGCCCACCGGCAAGCTTCAATGCGACAGAACCGTGTGGACGCACCGTAACAGTCTATGGTATACGGGCATACTAATGTAAGTCGACCAGCTTCAAAGCAAAACCAGAAGTCATTAATTCTGTCAGATAATTTTTGAAAATCACAAAATAAAGTGAAGTTTGAATGATCAGGAGTAGCACTTTAAAGACCTTTTTATGGATCGTCATAGCAGCAGTGAAACACAGGATAGGACACATAAAAGTTCACTCAAGTGTAATTAGAGTAATATAAGAATAAACATGTAAAAAACAGTATGAATATAAATAACAAAATGAATGTAAAAAAACTCGTCTTACACTTTGAGTTGTCCATGTCAGTCAGGTCTAGCATTAACAGGAAAAGGTGATGAACAGCAACAACCTGTCGTCACCATGTCTTAAAAGCTATCATCTGTTTTCCCTTCAGGTGAGCCCCAGACCTTCGATCTGAAATTCAAGCGTGCGGAGGATTACCCCATCGACCTGTATTACCTTATGGACCTCTCCTTCTCCATGAAGGACGATTTGGAAAACGTGAAGAACCTCGGCACCGACCTCATGAGGGAAATGCAGGGGATCACCTCAGATTTCAGGATTGGTAAGAAAAACTCCCAATAAAGACATCCTTATAATATCTGGAATAAAAGCATTAAAAGCAAGTTTATTTATATAGCACTTTTCACCACAAGGCAGTTCAAAGTGCTTTACAAAAATGAAAGACATTAAGAGCATTAAACACATTGGAAACATTAAATAGCAAAGATAATAAAACATGAATAAAAGTTACAGTGTGAGATGTGAATAGTTCAATTAAAAGCAGTGGCAAACAGAAAAGTCTTCAGCCTGGATTTAAAAGTAGTTGCAGCGGACCTGCAGGTTTCTGAGAGTTTGTTCCAGATATCTGACAAGACCCCGAACCAAATTCTCCCATTCCTCTACCCCTAGTCTTCACGTGAAATTAATCAGGGTTCCTACGGTCATTAAAAACCTGGAAAAGTCATGGAAATTAAAAATGCTAATTCCAGGCCCTGGGAAAGTTTTGGAAAACAATATTTTTCCCAAAGTTTTGGAAAAGTCATGGAAATGTAACTAAAGTTGCATCAAATATAATTTATATTTTATCTAATCGCCGAAATAGTAATACTATAACGATAATAAATACTGTATAGTAATGAAACGAGGTATTTTGCTGGTGAGAGATTTTTACATCACGCCCTCTAGTCAACAGTTGCTTTAGCCTGTAGGAGTTAGTAAGCCTACTATTTGTTTTAGATAGGCACAACATGTTTCATATGCAGACCTTATTTTCCTGTTCCATGTTAAAATAAACCATTTTCAGTGGCACTGCTGAGAAAGAGTAATTTCTGTGGTCATGGAAAATGAGGTAACGGTCATGGAAAAAAAAAAGAGTCATTGGTGAAAAAGTGTATGAACTCTGATTTTAGTTATTTTGACAGTTTTCTAACCTTTGCATTAGGTTTCGTTCAAAGCAGCATTTCACTTTTGACTTTGTTTCTCTAAATGCTGTACTGATACAAAGATTCTTCTCCTTTTTTAGGTTTCGGTTCGTTTGTGGAGAAGACGGTGATGCCTTACATCAGCACCACGCCTGCCCGGCTCATCAACCCCTGCACGGGGAACCAGAACTGCACCAGCCCCTTCAGCTACAAGAACGTCCTGAAGCTGACGGACAAAGGAGACGAGTTCAACAACCTGGTCAGTCAGCAGCAGATCTCAGGAAACCTGGACTCTCCGGAGGGCGGCTTCGACGCCATCATGCAGGTGGCAGTCTGTGAGGTGAGGAGGGAGATATTTAGACCTACTGCTCTGTATCTAGACAAAAGTGTCCTGCTAAAGGTCACCTATTATGTAAAATCCACTTTTCCATTTCTCTTCTACATCAACATGTGTCCCCTCTGTGGAAAGAGACTCTGAAAGTTTCAGGAACAAAGATTCTCTCTCTTTTTGTCCTGATCCATTTCTATAAAAACCTGTCTGAAAATGAGCTGATCAGATTTTGGCTACTTTGTGATATCATAACGATGTTTTGTCTTGTGTGACCATTAGCCAATCAGCAACCAAGGTAACCCCCCCCCCCCACCTTATCACCTGAATCTCCTCCTAGAGCACCATTGAGTTCTCTGTAACCAAATCTCTCTCAGAGGGGCGTGGGGAGGGGCTCCTTATTTTCATCTAAAGTAACAGACAGAGAATCAGCACTTTGGAAACAGGA